TGTTATATATTACCTATAGTTATTAATTATAGTAGTAACCACAATAATATCATTAAACTTTAGTAAACATTGAAAAGTTAAAATAAAACAATTTTTTTTTAGCAAGAGAGGATAAATGTCTCAATCCCTCTAACAGACATGATCAAATTAGGTACGCTACTGTACCCGCCTCGTAGATTGAAAATACAATAGATATAATACTAGATTTTATAGAAGACGTTCGTTAATTTTTTCGTGAAAACAACACACTTAAGGTGCTGAAATACAAATACGAAGACAAGACACAAGAACCTACAATTTTTTATATAAAATCTCAATTACTCGTATTCTCGGTCAAACATTTAAGACTTAGTATTTCGAACGCGTCTATATTGTTGAGTTATTATTTTTAATAACATCTTAAATTATATGATTTAGTCATGTAGGTACATCCGTATATAGTTGCTCTGTACCCTGAACTATGTGGTTATATTTTAAATGTTCATATTAGAGAGATGACTGCGATTTAAAACCTTTCCGATAAATTTGAAGATTCAGTTATATCGGACAATTCGGACATTAATAAAACCAGTAGTAACTTATTCGTCGAAAACATGGACGACGTTACGGAAGACAAACGAAAATTCATTACTTGTTTTCGAAAAAAAAGTACTTAAGAAAATACATGGTCCATGTAAAAATGTCAATACTGGAAAATGGAGAATCCGAAAAAATAGGGAACTAAAAGAATTGCATCAATACCAGATTGTTGTGGAAGACATTACTAAGAGACGACTCATCTGGGGCAGGACATGCTTGGCGTAAAGAAAAATCGCTGCCGAAAACAGTACTGGAAAATGCTCCACTAGGAAAAGACCACTGAGCCGTCTAACATTAAGATGGGAAGACAAGTAGGTTAAAGAAGACGTGGAAAAATTAAGGCCAGTTGGGAGTGGATTGAAAAGAATTATCATTAAAAAGGGAAAGCTGGATGCAAATTTGCTGGAYGGTATGGTCTTAAAGGTCGGTAACCACGAAGAAGAAGAATATTGGAGAGATGATTTACAATGAATAATATTATAGTGACATGTGCTCGCATATTATATAGGTATTAAAAATTAAAATTATGTATCTCACCTGATTTGCTGATCGTAATGTGTCTTTTCTAGCCTCTTGTCCTTGGCCCTGCGATTTTGAAACCAAATCTTCACCTGCGTTTCAGATAAATCTAATGAGCTGGCCAATTCCGATCTCCTGTTCCGGGACACGTACTCGTTGTTCCTGTATTCCATTTCCAGACTCAGTGTCTGTTCCGGACTGAACGTGGTCCTCTGCCGCCGTGGCGCCCGGCCTTCTTTCCGTCGTCTCCTTTCGACTGAAAACGAACCACACGCGTTGTAGCTGGGATTAGAAATGATTCAAAACCATAAAATTATTGCCAAGAGATCGGTGCGCGTATATATTTCCGTCGATTGGATTTAACCGTTTTCTTGGTATATAATATGCATATTGAATATTATTGTGATGTATACAATATATGTATACAAATTTATTATTAAACGTTATGCGTTTATTCGGTGTTGTTCTTCTGATTATAATCATTTTATTACTTGTTTTTCACACTCTGAAATATATCCATCGTACACCTACAATAATTATTGTGTTATAAATACTTATAATCAAATGTAATAAGTTAACCGCGTTAACGTATTTTTTTTTTCTTTGCAAGTAGATACATAGGTAGTACAAACTACAGGCAGTTGATTAGGAAACCTACGAAATATTTTCGGCGGCTAAGTACGAGGGTTAATTGTTGTGTTATGATATTACACAGTAAACGGCGTATATTGAGTTGTAATATAATAATGACTATGCCAGTAATTATAGCCAAGGTAACTATACGACTTCCGAGTATCGTATTCCATGTATAAGATGTGATTTAAGAAACTTTAGATGGCATATGGTATACCTGTGTATGCTTAATAGGGGTCAATATTGGAAAGATTTCCTTTCTACACATAGTATTATGTGGTGATAGGCTTCGAAATCTTTAAACACATCATAAATATAAATAATTAACGGAATACATAAAATAAACACGTAGTAACTATTTTTAATCTTAAAACCAAACAAAAT